GTCCAAGATAGACTTTCCGTAGTGACAGAATTATTAATGTTGTTGTGTAAGGAATACGTGAGAACAAGTTGGAGAAGATGTTTAGAAATAAAGACTGTTCTATTTCCATGGGTGGTGGTAGAACTTTGGCTTCATAGTCTCTTATTATTTTCTGAAGGTTTTGAGAAAATTCAGACTGTTTCATATGAGGTACTGTTGAAAGAATCACAGGTAATGCTAAAGGAGTTCCGTATACAAGTTCTGCGGATGTGCAACCTAAGTCTTCCTTGATGGCAGATCTTATGCCTAAAAGAACGAAAGGCAATGCTTCCAGCCATGATTTTGATTCGAGTAGATGACATTGAGACTTGCTTTTAAAGTTCGGTAATGTCTTTCGATCAGGCCATTTGCCTATGGATGGTATGCAGTTGTAGTGTTTGTTGAAAAACCAAGATATTTTCCTAACGCTGAAAAAGTTGGCTATCAAATTGCCGACCTTGGTCAGATGTTATGCGATTCGGAATTCCAAAGCGTGAAAACCAAGTATAAATCAAAGCTTTAGCAATAAATTCTTCTGATTGATCTTCTAACGGTACCGCTTCGATCCATCGTGTATAACGATCGATGATGGTTAGAAGGTATTTGAATCCTTTGCAAGGAGGTAGCGGACCCACCAGATCTATGTTTAAATGCTGGAATCTGTGTGGAGGTACTTTGAATTCTCCCAAAGATGAATGTGTATGTCTGTGAACTTTAGATCTTTGGCAGATAAACATGCTCTAGTCCATAGTTGGCAGTCTTTATTCATATTGGGCCATATGAAATGTCGTGTTATCAATTTATCGTGGATCTTATTCCCGGAATGAGATAAATTAGGATTGAAGAAAAAATTTTCTGCCGAAACTTTGCAGGGATGTATGGTCGATTATAATTTGTAGACGTATCACAGTAAAAATTTCTTGTCGCTGTCCGGTATAGGGATCTGTAGGATTTTAAGTTTGGGTTGTTTTTTTAGGGTCTCCAAGTCGTCATCTTCTTGACAGTCTACTATAGTTTGTAATCTATTGCAGATGGTACATAAATGGTGTCTATGCGAGAGAGAGTGTCAGCGACGGTATTTTCATGCCCTTGTATGAATCGGATATCGTTGAGAACTGGCCTATATGACAGTTGTCTAGCTTGTCGTGGCGAAGCTTTTCCGATTTTTTGTTGGAAGGCAAATGTTAGTGGTTTGTGATCCGTGTATATTGCAAAAGTTCGCCCTTCTAAGATGTATTTGAAATGTTTTACTGCTGTATAGATGGCTAAGAGTTCTCTGTCGTAGGCACTATATTTTTGTTGTGCTGATGTCAAATTTCGGGGAAAAAAACTTAAGGGTTGTTTTGCATTATTCACAATCTAATGTAAAACGGCTCCAATGGCAGTATCGGAAGTATCAGTTGTTAGCGATATTTCAGCCTTTTCGGATGGGTGAGTTAAGTTTGTGGCATGAATAAGTGCATCTTTTAAGATCTGGAAGGCGTTTCTTGTTTCTGCCGTCCAGGCTATTTCTTTCCTGCAGTTCTTTTTAATACCACTGAGCAATGTTGTTAAAGGTTGTTACCACTGAGGTTTAATACCACTGAGCAATGTTGCAGTTTCGCACAATTTGGTATGACTCTGTGATAAAAATTCACCATACCTAAAAATCGTCTTAAACTAGTAAGTGACTTTGGGAAATGGTTCTGGGAAATTTTTGATGGCATCAAACTTTCGTTGAAAGAGGTTTAAGTCCTTCAGCTGACACTTCGTATCCCAGGACATGCAAGTTTAAGTCCTTGACCAAATTTAACACTTTGCCGCATTAATAACACAGGCCATATTCGTTTAGTCTCTCGAAGGACTACTCTCGTATAGGCTGTGCTTTCGATGAGTTTCTTCATCTGGAGAGGCTATTAGAATGTCATCCAAATAGCAAAACACGAATTCTAGTCCATTCAACACACTGTTCATGAAACGTTGGAACGTTTGGGCCGCATTTCGTAGGCCGAACGTCACGAATGGGAACTCCAATAAGCCAAAGGGAGTGAGAATGGCCGTTTACGGTATATCTTCTTCGCGAACTGGAATTTGTTGGTACGCTCTAATGAGGTCTATGGTTGAGAAAACTTTTTTTCCAGCTAAAATGGAACTGCAATCTGTTAAAAAAATGGGAGAGGGTATCTATCAGGAATCATGACGTTGTTTAACGCTCGATAGTCTCCACAAGGTCTCCAATCACCTGATTTCTTCATAGCGAGATGTAGTGGGCTCTACCAGTTACTTTTGGATGGCCTGCATAAACTCGTTTGGAGCATAAATTCAAACTCCTTTTTAGCCGCTTTAAGTTTCTCAGCTGACAGTCTCCTGGCTTTAGCGAAAACTGGTGGACCTCTGGTTTCGATATAATGTTCGATGTTATGATTTTAACTTTATTATTAACTACATTCAGTTTTAACAAATCCGGAAAATCGTTAATTATACGTTTATATGGATCATTTACGGCATTTAAAATCGGAATATTATTATTGTTATTTTGAAAAGAAGGAGTTCATTGGTTGTTAAGAATGTAGTACCATCAATCAAGGTGCGATTTTTAGAATCTACCAAAAGGTTAAAATTTGCATGAAAATCCATGCCTATTATCGGTTTGTTTACGTCCGCAATTACAAAAGGCCATGTGAATGATCGTCTGAGTCCAAGATCAAGCTTGAGTAATTTTTGGCCATATGTTTTAATTTTCGTACCATTTGCAGCAAAGAGTTCTAATTTTGAGATGTTTTTTTTATTTGCAGGCAAGGGAGGAATGACAGAAATTTCTGCCCCAGTATCTATTAAAAAATTGGGTAGCCGATTCTTGTCGCTGATGAAAAGACGACACTCAGCTGCACTCCTTGTCCCTCCGTCGTCAATGAGAGACGGGGAGCTGGTTTTCCGGACTATTTGTCTGTGATGTTGATGAGTAGTTGCAGGGTTGTTTACACTTAAATGACTTATCACCGAATTTTTTATGATAGTAACAAATATCACTAGATCTGTTACCACTGTAACTCCTATCTCGTGATTTGGATCAGTTACGACAATAGGGACGACTGTGGCGTTGCTTGTTTAAAGCAGAAACTTGTAAGCTAAGTTCACTAACCTGTTTTTGTAAACTTTCAATCACTTCCGTTTTTACCGTTATGGATGACGCAGCAGCTATTTGGGGAGTAACTGGGTTTAATTCGCAAATCTTATCGGCCATTGTAGCCACTTTTGACAAATCTTCACTACTAACAGATATAATGCTACGCATATGAACGGGTAAACGTTGTAGCCACAACGTTTTTAGGAAAGTATCTGTTACTTTATCGCCAGCCAAATTACGCATCTCACACAGTAATTGAGATGGCCAGTTCTAACTCACTCAGTAATTTTTGGGTTTTCTGAGTCTCTGAATCAGCATATAATGAAATTAGTCTATTTTTAATTGCCTCATATTTATTATCTTGTGGTGGACTTAGCAAAATATCAGATACCTGTGACAAAATATCGGGTTCAATGGACTTATAACATAATCATATTTTGTTTGATCTGCACTAATTTTTGCATTTCTAAATTGTGCTTCTAGTTGAATAAACCATATTTTAGGATCTGGCTTCCAAAAAGGAGGAACTTTAACGCTTACCTTGGCGACAGATGCAATTGTTGCTTTAATTTCGGTTTCGTCTTCGTCAGCCATTGTAGAATTCGATCACGCCGGGATACACCAGTGAAGTATCTGGTGTGCAAATATAGAAAAATAACACTTCTCTGACTCCTATGGAACCAATATTTTATTCCTTACGATGTTATAGATTCTTATTCATAAGATTTATTTCATTTTACATGCACGTAGCATCGCGTGACAAAAACTCGAAGTTCGGTTCTTCGCGGAGACTAGAAGGTGTTGCCATTCCGCTTTAACTAAATTTCATTAGAAACTTAACGGAACTGAAGCGACACTACATGGATTATCCATTAATAAGGTAAAGAGACTCATTCTATTTCAATATTTGCACTTTTTACATCTGATGAATGAACTGTGCATTCCTTCAACAGCACACACATGTAGTATATAATCTAATTTGACTCTGACAACTCTTTCTTGGTGTTCAAATTTTCAATACAATAATATAAATACCCCACAGCTCATAATCATCCTTTAAACTTGGAAATCAAAGACACCAACAATTACTTTCGTTTAAAAAATTATCAATCAAGATATCTTGAGACAACCAAGTTTATGAAAATACCAAATCTTGAATAGAATTTAAACCAAGTGGATCATAAAACTGAAACATTTTATTTTGAATTCCTACTGCCAGTAAAGCTCAATGATTATCATTAATAAGAGCCAGGGAAAAAAATCAGTAGATGATAAGTCATCTCTTATCCATACATTTTGATGGAGGACTACTACAATGTGTATAAAAAGAAAAGCATTGATAACAATGTAATTGATTCAACCAGTCTGAAAAATAGAAACTGCAGCTTTCAATGCTACAATTTTCTTACTTAGAACATACGGATCCAGAAATTTTTATATAAAGAAATATTACAGGGATTTCTCCAACATGCAGAACACACTTTCATATATCTTCAACAATAAGTTTGGGAGTAAAAGTACATTTGTTAATTATGCATACTAAAAAACTGCCTTTATTTACATTTCAAAATTTTAGTTACAGTATCACTTGGTGGTAGCTCAGCTACATCTATGAATAGGATATTTGATATGCCTAATAAATCTTTTTTATTTTAAAAATACTAGGATAATTTGAAATGGACATATTATTCCATCGGCTGGCCCAGTAGCGTAATTTAATACTAGTTATGGATGGCTCACTTCTTTTAGAATTCCGCAGCAATGATTGCTGACCATTGATGAAATTTCTGCCAATAGTCGATAGAATAATACATAAGTACCCTAAAACTTTATGTTTTGTGTCTTTTAAATGATGAGTTGTATGAAACAAAGTCCAACATGATTATTTTTAATTTGGATACTTTTTCGTTATGCACCTACAACACTTTTGTTGCTTGTGATAGAGAACACAAATACATGCCGAGATCCAACGATAACACTATCTGTAGACCACGAGCATATCTAAGCAATAATAATTAAACACATGTATGCACATACTATTACAATACTACTGAAAAATGTGTGACACTGCACAACAAAAAAGTACCGTGAAACTGAGCAATATACGCATATGGTATATTTATCTGGAAATTCATTCAGATTGCTTGATTCTTTACACATTTATCATTAAAAATGATTTCTTTTAAACTTTTTGTTATATTAGCAATTATATCTTATTAACTGCTGGATTAGACAGCATAACTAGACACTCAGATATTAAAGATTTACAAACCAACTTTACATTCTAAGTTACATGGTGTGCTTGGAGTAACAGATTTTATAACCATTCCTACAGCTGAAGAAGAACTTTTAATTTTAACAGTATTATGATGGAGGATGGATCTCTGCCTAACTGAATGTAATTTACAGATAAACAATGGGCTGTAATCTACACATTTATAAAAATGACAGCATAAATTAAGATAAGCTAATATATTGAAAGTAAAAGGATTTAACTTTGATGACATAACACATGCAAACATTTAATCACATATTGAATTACATCACTATCCAATATTTTTAATTTGGATTCACATCACTTGCTGTAAGTTAGTGGACTGCTTATAAGTTGTTTTAATTTAGACATACTGCTTTGCCTCATTTTTTGCAACTTTTCGGCAGATGTGTAGGTACAGAAAAGATATCGCCAAAAAGTATTTATGTAGCAATGTACTTATAAGTGTAGCATATCTGTTTCGGCCAGCAAGCAATGATGAACTAAACGGATGCCAAGTTTGTGCAATTCAATGATGTTTTTCTAAGCGAAAACAGATCGTCATGTACATGGGAAGAACACACAAAAAAATATTTCTGAAAAAAAGGTTTTAGTTTTAATTTTATTGGTTGACTGTTCTTGTATGGAATTCTTAGTCGCTGCTATCTTAAAAGTGGTTGCTGCTTTTCATGCATAAGCTTGGCAAAAAATTAGTCGGCAACGAGTTTGCTCTCCAAGATGTGAATAATCAGCACCATTCCTTATCTGAAACCATTAAAAAAAGTACTGCAAAGCTTAATGCACATGCCATTTATATAATAAATGTGTAATAATAAGACTAAATTTTTTTTAGAAACACAGGATGGGTAAATTTATCATCATTCATCAAAAGACAATTAACATGAAGTTCAGATATTAAGCACAAAAGACAATTAACATACTGTTCAGATATTTGATACTGAGATAAGTAACTTGTAGGATACTTCACTATATCCCAATCTAATTGGTTTGTAATGAAATTAAGTATATGATAACCATTGATAAACTCATCAGGAACTGAGGTATATGACAACTACTGATAACTCATCATTCAGGAACCATTAAATTCAACAAATAGAAATCATACTACTATGTTTTGTGAGTAGAATAAATACATAAAATTCTTTAATAACATTTAATCATCATTTTCTTCTGCTCTTTAATCTGCAGTCTTAAAGCAAAAGACTTTCATGAAGTTCATCAAGCCCTTTTAGATCAAACATGTCAAATTCAGTATCTCATATTGGCTAAATAACTGTCAGTGTACAAAATAAATCACAAGGAGTAAAAAAAAAAAAAAAAAATTTCACACTTCATGATGTATTTAAAAAAATGCATAAAACCTTATCTGAAGCTGTAGTTTTTGAAAACATAAAAGTAACGCAAGAAAATCTGGATTCTCGAACACCTGGCATCTTTTTCTTGTAACCATATAACCTTTCGGCACAGCTTAGTATTAGTCCTTTTTGGTGAGAAATGTTTTTGGCGTGATAAATGAAAGATTATGATAACCTTGTTACTTATGGTAACCCTAAATACTGAACTGAAAAACATGCCGCCATTTCTGTCCACGTAACTTTTAACGAATTTGGTCAGAGCTTTGATGGCAGGAGGGAATTGCATGTTTTTCTTAGTTTCTTTCATGTTAGTAAAGCACAACATTTAAAATATTTTTATATGAGCCAAAATTTGATAGTTAAAACTGAATGTGAATATTACATCACATGAAAGACTCGTGATGTAATATTAAAAGCATCAATTTTAATATTACATCACATGAGTCTTGATAATTTTTCATATGTCAACTCTGCATATTATAAATTCCACCCCCCCCCAAAGAAAAAAAAAAAAAAAACATTTTTAGTAACATGAGGTAAACTCTTGGTGTTTACTTTACTAAGGAACCACATGCAAATTTAGACTTTTTAAAGGTTTCTTAAAATGGGCAATGATCAAAATTACCATAGTCTAAAAATACTTTTTTGCCTCATTTCTTAAATTAGAACTATAGGGATATGTAATTGCATGAATTCATAGACCAAAATTAGGTTTCATTATTGCTTTTATAACATTTTTATAATTTGACTATAAAAGTATAATGTTGCTTAGATTATGGAATATATTGCTTATAATTTACAGTTCTGAAATTTTATAAATCTCACAGTCTAATAGCTACATATGAATAACCTTCACTGACAGTATTATTACTTTTATTAATAGTATGTTGACATAACATTCGACTTTTTATTTTAAATTTTATGCAAATTTTTTACATTACTTAAACATTTAATCTAACAAATCTGAATTTTTTGTAATAAAAATTCTATAATAAAAGTAAGTGTACAATTTACATATAAAATTTGACTACATGGCAAGCAATCAGATACTGATTTTAATGTCTTTAAATGTAATTATTATAAAGTTTAGATATATTTTTATTAAGTTAAGATATACTCTTATTCTATTAAAGAATTTACATGTACTGAACAAAAGGCACACTTTGTGCTTACGACTCAGTCAACCACTTGTGGCAAGATAACTTATGATAACAATAAAGTTCAAATGTAAAATTTTAATTCAAATAAATTTGTAGCCAAAGGCTACACAAATCAATTTAATGCAAAGTTGGTTCAAAACTTAACCGGCATGGAATTCAACTATCAGCAATTATAAAGCAGGACCGAAGACTACAAATCTTATCTCATCTAGCAACCTAGTAACATGGCCTCTAAAGGCAAAACACGGTTTGTTTTACAAACTAAAAACTTCATTTGGATTTTGGTGGGAAAGCGGATGTGGAAATTGACAGTAAAGATCCCAAACATAAAAAAACTCTGGTTACAAAATAAAAGAACGTTACATTTTACTTTGTTCCCTGATTAATTATTCACTACATGAAATAGTGTAATGCATTTTTATTTGCATCATATACAAATTATTTATTTTATTTAAATGCTGTCCAAAACTGAACAGGATTTTGCAAACATATTGACCATATTTTTCGACCTATAGATGCAACACTTCAGAAGTCAGAATTAGAATTAAGAAATAAGAAGAGAGAACAGTATTTATGAATAAAAATATATATATATATGCTGGCTAGCAGAAGGGTGCCTTCATAAAGGACATTTTAAGAAAAACTGGCTCAGATTCACATTGCATGTAAGGAAAACCACAAAAACTCCCATATAGCCAGCCTGAACTACCACTGTTCAGTGGCTTATCACTCCACCTCTAGTGGATTCCAATGACTGTTCCAATCTTTCACAGAAATCTTCAGTTATGATGATTGTTGTTGTGTATGATTACCATTGGTACAAAACTTACTCATTATGATAATTTAATTTTAGCATTTAAATTATAATCATAAATTACTTGTAATAAATTGAGTGATTAAAAAATACACACTTCTTAATATTTTTACCATTTACAAAATTTAATCTTAAAGTATTTCTAATACTGATGCAGCCAGCCTGAACTACCACTGTTCAGTAGCTTATCACTCCACCTCTAGTGGATTCCAATGACTGTTCCAATCTTTCACAGAAATCTTCAGTTATGATGATTGTTGTTGTGTATGATTACCATTGGTACAAAACTTACTCATTATGATAATTTAATTTTAGCATTTAAATTATAATCATAAATTACTTGTAATAAATTGAGTGATTAAAAAATACACACTTCTTAATATTTTTACCATTTACAAAATTTAATCTTAAAGTATTTCTAATACTGATGCAAAATTTATTCATTATAATTTAATTTGATTTTGAAATATTTTTATTTTCTTTTAATAACAGAATCTAAGGAACTAAAGTAACATATACTAGTTTGAAATGCATTTATTAACCTTTTGTAAATTTCATTATTCATAACATAAAAATTAACCTTTTGTAAATTAAAAATATTAGCTAAATACTAATATAATATAATATAAATATTAACTAATTACTTAAAAATTAATATTTAATACATTAATATTATATTTTGTAATTTAAAATATTTAACTTTTGTAAATTTCATTACTCATAACATATTCACTGCCATAAATACATTTACGGTAGTGTTTCAAGAATTTATCATAGCAGTACTAGAAATGTTGAAAATTAGAGAAAGACTGTTTATTCTAATTAAGAGCTTATTTTTTAAGATTGTTATTTAGTCTAGATCGGGTTTTGTTGAGAATCCGCCATTTTTTTCCGATTTTCAAACGCCGGCTCTACCTTGGCGACCGAAGTTTGTTGCCAAATCAAAAAATCGCCAAAAGGACCAATACTAAAGCTGTTCCAACCTTTCTTTTTCTTTCATATTTTTGGAGACATGACACTCCTATTAGCAATTTTCAGAATACAAATCAGATGATTATCTATTAACATGGATCTAAATGGAAAAATTTTCCTACTTATAAGTGAGAAAAAGTTGCTCACACAGATCCATATTACCGAAGATGGAAATCCCGTTCAGCGCAATTTTGAGATTCTAGGAACTTTCAAGCAAATATTTGTAAAATTTGTAGATATTCTTTTCACTGAACTTTTGCATTAGAACTGAGTACATTTTGAATTTCTATTAATTCTATCTGTAAATGGGCTGGTACCTTCTTGGTGTCAATTTTAAACAAAAAGGAAACAAAGAAAATTTATCTTTGATATATCCAATATTGTGGAAACTTTCTTCGAATCCAGGCTTCAAATGCTGAAGCTTCTTAATACACATTTTGTACAAACCAAGCTCTCTTGAACTTGTTTTGTACCAAATGCAAACTGAGAAGAGTGACAAGTCTTTCTTTTTAACAGCTTCTTCTACGACAGTAAATAGAACTTGAATGTTTTAATTCGATCACTCCTTTTCATAATAATTATAAATTTTCTTTAGTCTCAAGTCTGTAAAAGAAAGATCTCATAACCACAGAGAACCCTTTAATTGGCTGGTGTCTTGTTCTTTCATTACCATAAACTGGTGAATTTCATCTCTTGTGTTCTAGAACATTTCGAGAAATGTAGAGCAAGAAACCTAGCACAATTCTGTGTAATAGGGAAGCTCAGAATATTTGAATTCTAAAGCTTCCAGGAAAACAGAAAACTGTCATTAGTTTAAGCCATGAAATCTTATGAAGTTGATTTTTTTCAACTATTTCATAACATTTCCAGTGAATATAATACCTTTTGCTATATAATGCAGAGGACATAATGATCCAAAGCATATATCCACTGCTATGTAATGCAGTAAACTCACTACCTGCCTTTTATTGTAAGAGTTTGTGATTCTTCAAGTTACAAAAGCATCTTTATCATTTAAGTCCTTTCAGTTATCATGTAGACCACTTCCATCTCTAATAAATTCTTGAATTTGATCTGTAAATATGCTAAGCACATAAGATTTAATTTTATTGTGACAATCCTGATTAAATTGTTGGAACATGCTGTTTTAAAGACAATTCAAGATTACAGCTTGATAAAATATGACTGTGGCAAGTTGAAGTTCCTCAAAAACTAAAATTTTTGACCGACACTTACAACTAGAAAATAAGGTATCTTATTTTTTTTTTTTTTTTCAATTAGAAACTGGTACATATTTTTATTGCATAGCATTAGTTCCCAAGAATAATGATGAAACATTATATCATTCCTAAATGCAGTTCCAGAAGAATTTTTAAAATAACTGCATGTTTGCTTATAATGTAATTCTAACCAAAGCTAAAATTTTTCCATTGATGAAAATATACTTTCTTGTACAGCCATCTGATAACCATGATATTCAGTCGAATATTTACTACATTCACGAATAGAATAAAAAGATTTCTTAAAAATACCTGTCTTACATTTATTATATGCATGATGTTTGAGTAATACGATACTTTTAATGAAAGTTTATTACCAGTTTTATAGTCTTTCTCACAATGGTTGCAAATGTATGACTTTCGAACAAATTCAGTTGAAGGTGCTTTGCAGTTATTTTACAACAGAAAAATAACTGCACTGTAGAGTATAACTTAACTTCACACACTGAGATAGTTGATTTCTATAACATCTTTACAATTATATATATGACTAGATAACAATTTTTAGATTTCTTATAGCTAGGACACATTTTAGACTTGCAGTCACAATTTTCTTTTGCATAATCAATGCCACATTTACTCTCATTGCTTACATTATACATATTACTTTCGCATTTATTTTAAAAGTTACCACCTCTAAACTTAAAGTTAGAACATTGACCATCATCAAAAAAAAAAAAAAAAAAAAGATATATTAGAAACTGGTGCAGTAGCATTAAAACTGCGTGAAGTGAAACTGACAGAACAATGTTAAAGAACTGCAAGGTTTGACAAAAAAAAAAAAAAAAAAAAAACTGAATCAATGACAATTCAAGGAGTAGAACATAAAGAACTGGAAACTTAAGAGTCAGGTGCAGATGCAAAAACAGTAAATTGAAAACCAAATGCAACAGCTTCAAGATTATTTGAAGCAGTGCTGATAAAGCATTCAAAAAATGAAAAATCTGAAAGGTGGTATGAGAGGCAGAATGAGAAGCAGTAGTAGTTAATAGCAAGTTCAGGAACAACTGGAACAGGACTCGAAGAGCCAGATGACTGAAAACTGGATAACAGAAAACCAAGAAAACAGTGCAGTATTTACCTACGGAGAATTCATAGTCAAAACACTCTTTATGTCCTTAAGAAAAATTCTTCCAAGAAATATATTTCATTGTTAATTACTTTTTAGGAATAAATATTTTTAATTTATTATTCTGTGCATTATTTTTGCACAATCTAAACAGAAGCCTAACAATCCTCCACAGAATGTGCATACATAGCAATACTTTCTATTTGGTTATTTGGCCAGTATTTGATCTTGCCTATTTATTCCTGTTATGTCAATATTGCATTATTTTATTAGTAGTAGTTTTAATTTCATTTCATTTCTTTGCTTTGAGTTTCAACCATATCATTTTTCTATTCATTAATGATGTAAAAAACGTCTCTTATCTTTTAATTTTCCAATCATTACACCACTGGCATATTTTCCTGTAGTTTCCCCCTCTTTTTAGCTTCTTTTGGTAGAATTTTTCCATTACTTCTCATAGTACCAGTCTTTCTTTCAGCAAGGTATTTTGCAAGTTTAAAACAGTTATAATAACTGTCTATATACATACCAATACCATTATCTAAAATATCCAGTAAATCCATTAAAACTTTCTCAACATGCAGTGGCATAGCTAGGGTGGGGCAAGGGAGGACATCTGTCCCCGGGCGCAGCATTCAGGGGGCGCCAAATTGATGTACGAAATTTTAGAATGAAACGTTTTCCGTTCTTGGCACAGAGGAAAGGGGCGCAAAATCTTCAGTTGTCCTCGGGCACCCAAAACCCTAGCTACGCCTCTGTCAACATGCCCTTTTCCCTTAGAATCATCCAACATAGATGTATACACCAGACATTTTAAAACATTGCCAAGAGATGTCATGACCATGTACACTGTTATGCTCTATTTACGACATTCAGTAAATATAGTTGAAATGAAAGATTTGGAATATGGTAACAGGTAGTTTGGCGAAATTTTGGTAAGGCGATAAAAGTTACTAGCTAGGACTTTAGTATTGTACATGGATAAAGTCAAGAGTGTGCGCAATGCCATTTTTTGTGTAATTCTGGGATGTTTTTTTAAGTGAAAATAGGTCAACGGGTACATGGATGATACCGTTTATGTGCAATTCTTAAAAACGCGGCAAGCAGTTTGCGATTCTGCACTTTCTTCCATTTTTGCACCTAATCTTTGTCATGATTAAGCATTTTTGTTCCATAAAAGTTCTAGTATAAGTGTAATTCGGCTAGCAGATTGTTGGAAAAAATGTTGAGTTAAAAAAAAACATGCCTTTACTTCGTGAAAACAAAATGGTGTCCAAAACAAAACTAGCAGGTTGCTGTAGCAGGGTAGGTTGCCAAATTTTGGCCAAAAAATCACCAAGTTACCATAATCCAAAGTTTAACCAAAAGGGCACCCTACCGTATCATAGATTCATTCAAGCTAACTTCATATCCTGGATAATACATTTTAGACATTCTTTACTTGGACAGATTTATTATATTCCTAATTTTATACAACTGATGAACTGGAGCTTCATCATTGTTTAGACTTTTTTGGAAACTGCAATGCTCACATTATTAATAAAAAAGCAATTTCTGCTCATGTTAGGGCAAAAAATACATAAACCAAACAATGAATTGTTTTCCCAGTAATTTTGTGTACGATTCAATCTTATTGTTCTCATATGCAAAATCAGTTCAAAAAATGCAATTTCTTCTTTGGTGATGTCTTTTCATGCAGTGATCATGGAATGTTGCATGACAAAACAGTATTTCACTAGTATAAGCATTTGCCTAAATAATTACTCTATTGAGAATATCATCTGTCAGTACACGTAAAAAATAATTCACAAGATCATATCCGGTAACAGATTGGAGTAATTATTCAGATTTTATAAATGCAAACTACATAGATGATGATTTGTCATCGCAAACTACATTTCCTAGCGTAAGTTTCTTTGCATTTTCGTCATATATATCCCTATCCGAATATTTAGAATCATCTGTGGGAGACGTGTACTTTTCTTTACTTGTAGAACTAAATTCACTCACATATCATCTCAAATGTTTCCTAAATATGCTGCAATTTCTTTATCTGTTGATGGTCTTAGACCAAGACTAAGATCTTGCTTGTTTCAAACGAGAAGGTCCTGGTAAACTGACATCTACATGGCTCATAATATGGAAAATTATTTGCATGAAAAACGTAAAATCAAAAGCCAAAAAGTTTAATTTCATAATATTAATACCGCATGTACACAACTTTAGGAACAATCCCCGCTACTAAAAGTACGCGCGCTAAACGTCATTTCCGTTTCAAAGAATCCGTTTCAGAAGAATCAAATACTGCCGGAAAGATCAGAGATACGACGAATCGTTTCTCTCATTGTTTTGATTGATTTTAAAAAAATTATTTTAACTGATTTTAAATTCTGATTCATTTTAGAAAATTCGAGCTCATAATCAAAAAAAACGGTTTTCTGATTATGAAATAGAATTTTCTTAAAAAATTTGGCAATACGGTGATTTGTTTCGCGCTTTTCAAGTAAATTTGAATCGTCGGCTGCATTAGTGATACAATGTCGAAAGATAAATTTTACATTTTATTAAATGAAGTATTTGACTTAATGTTAGATAACAAACTAAGAAAGGATATTGATGACACACTTTTAGAGAAATTAATATCGTTGTTGAAAGGAGGAGGAGTTATAAATACAAATAATCAAAATTCAGATCCGAAATCCACTGACGCAGGTAGTAACATAATACTTTTATATTCCTAATGTAAGAAATAGCATAACATTCCTTTTTAAATGCATAAATGTTGTGTCTGAAATATATACTACTACTACCCTGATGTTGTAAATAAATCTAAATGTAAAAATTTATAAAAATCATTAATTCATAGTTTTAAGTACTAAAAGGGAATAGTTTGAAGGATTTAAATATATTTTAGATAAGAATTAGGAGAGAAGAGAAATACACTAAAGTAAAACAAGAATTAGGCAAAGGAACAGCGTTCTATTTGGCGTCAATTTTGCTCAAGACTTGATTTCGAAGGCAGATGCAGGTCCCTCGTCATCAGGAGCAAAGATATCTGCAACAACGGAAAAGCCACCATGTTATTTATAAGGCGAATGGCACTACCTTTTCGTGCACTTACTTCTTTTGGGTGTAAATCCAACCCTGGTTTTCCCTTCATTGCAGATTTGTTTGCTCCTGTTGAAGAAGGACCTATACCTGTTTGCTGTTGAAATACATGGAGTTTTGATTAAAACAACAAACATAAGGTTGTTGCTTTACCTAATTTTATGTCTTAGATACTTTCATTTTATCCTGTGACTGCATGTGTTTTACTCTTGATTTGGCTCCAAAGATTGCATAAATAATATATTATCATCAGGACATTAGTCATGGTATTTTGAATTGTTACTAGAATATGGATCATATGAAAACAAATTTATTGTCACTAGCAGTTAAATGCAAGTAACGTGAATGCAAGATTTATTTATTCAGCAGTTTTTACTATATGCCTTTGTAATAATGCTATGCTTGCAATGCTCAGCAAATTCATTAGTCGAAAGAAGCAAAGATCAGCAATACAACGATTAAGATTTCGAGAGATTGAAGGGTGCCCCTTGTACAGTCAGAAGTCTTTAATCCGGACTCATTGGGACTTCGGCGATTTCGGATTATCGGTTTTTCCAGATTAAAAATCATCAGTTTAAATCTGGTAAGATACCATGCAGAAATTATAATATAAAAAATATGAAACCGTAATTTATGAAATAAAGAGCAATTATGATCTAAAGGGTATCAAAATTTACAAAAAAAAAGCTTAATATTTATTTGTTTACTTTATTAAACATTTCTTTCAACACGCGCATGCGTAAAGCATACATTACGCAGGCGAAATTAGAAAAGTCAAAATAGAAAATCGAAATTAGAAAATTGCAACCAGAAAACTATTTGATGTGTATTCGTGATATTTTATAATGACGAGGAATTTGATTTAAATCATATCTAAGACAGAGTACATGGAGATGAAATACTACATTTAGTAAGGAATTATTAACCGAGTAAAATAAAAATATCTGCCCTGAAGATAAGGATAATGAACTGGAAGTTGATCTGTCAGCACGACAGATCAACTTCCAGTTCATTTAACGCAGCGCATCCCCCCTCCCAGAGCAGCGTGAAATTGATAAACAGATTTCGGAATGGTTAGAGAAACAAAGGATATGCCTTTATCCATTTTTTGCAGCAATTCCACTTTTTGTGTGATGGACATCGAAACATGCTTTCGCTTTGTAGATCTTTTGGTAGCTCCAGAATCGGAAATTCGGTTAATCTTCGGATTATGGTAACTTGGCGATTTTTTGGTGAAAATTTGGCGACCAACCCTGCTACAGCAACCTGCTAGTTTTTGTTTGGACGCCATTTTGTTTTCACAAAGTAAAGGCATGTTTTTTTTTACTCAACATTTTTTTTCCAACAATCTGCTGGCCGAATTACGCTTATGCTAGAACTTTTATAGAACAAAAGTGCTTAATCATGACGAAGATTATGTGTGAAATCGGGAGAAAGTGCAGAATCGCAAACTGCTTGGTGTGTTTTTAAGAATATCACATACACGGTATCCACATACCCGTCGACCTATTTTCACTTAAAAAAACATCCCAGAATTGCACAAAAATGGCATTGCGCACACTCTTGACTTTATCCATGTACATTGCTAAAGTCCTAGCTAGTAACCTTTATCGCCTTACCAAAATGTCGCCAAACTACCTGTTACCTGTGCCATATGCCAAAGATTGGCAGGAAATTCTTTTTGACATAATCGAAAGTTCAAGCTTACTTTTATAAAATTGCTCTAACAGTCTGCAAAAAATAATAAGCCATATTAAATTCGAAGATTAAGGAACAACACAATCTGCAACATTAACTGAAATAGATAATTAGATAATTTTAGCTTAGCTTATACTGTCTGTTATACATTAAATGCACATGAGTAAACGTATTATGCGCATGCATAAAGGTATTATGCGCATGCGTAAACGCATTATGTGCATGCACAGAAAGTTTGTAGCTTTGAGGTGTGGATCATAGATCATTCCGGATTATGGATGTCCAGATTAAAGTCTTTTGACTGTATCATCGTGAAGTTGTTTCGTTTATAGCCAAGTTGTTCTTTCATTTTCGCCAAGTTGTTGTTTCATTTATGGTAACCTGAGTAGTTGAGTGTTATAGTAGAAACCCTATGACATAATCGATTGCGTTTTGCCATAAATTTTGAATGACAGGAAAAAGATTTGAAAGGGCTTGTGGTGGGTGTTGGTTAGGAAATGTTATGAAAACCCTATTATGACGTAATTAATTGCGTATTACCATAAATTTTAAATGACGGGAAAAAGATTTGTAAGGGCTTGTGGTGCGTGTTGGTTAGAAAGTACATTGCTTGTTTTGTGGTTTAAATGGTAGAATGGCTGAATGTTGTAAGATTAATTTGAATTTCTATACGATTTGGAATGAAAGGGGAAAAGTGCATTAATTGACTGGTGTGTAAATGAAGATTTACTTAGTAGCCATTACAGTGTCCTGTTTGTAGGAAGGAAATACGTATGGTTGAACTTCAGAGGATATCGGCCGTACGGGGGATATTTTTGACTCAATTTTGTGAATTTATGTGGCAATGTCGATATATGGATTCTAGTTCAGATAATTTTAGGAAGTTATTAGATGATGTTAAGGAATTTTGTGCGCCACAGTTTGAAGGATTCAGAAATTTCTAAATAAGGTAAGTGGGTACTTGCTTTGTGTACTGCTTAGATGCATAAGATGAATTTCCTTTTTTATGTTATTTTATTGTTTGATTTAAAATGTAGTTTATTGAGATTATTTATTTTTTGTTTTGTTCTACTGTAGAATTGGGTGCTTCTTTGATTTAAGTGAAAATAGATCAGTGTGTACATGGACAAAGTCGAGGGAGTGAGCAATGTCAAGTTTGTGCAATTCTCTGATATTTTTTTTAAGTGAAAATAGGTTGATGTGTACATTGATTAACCAAAGGAGTGCGCAATGCCAAGTTTGTGCAATTCTCTGATGCTTTTTTAAGTGAAAATAGGTCAATGTGTACATGGACACCAAGTTTGTGCAATTCTTTGACTTGTTATCTTGTCTTTGTGTAGTGGCGATTTTTGGTGAAAAAATCACCCCTACACAAAGCCAAAATAACAAGTCAAAGAACTGCACAAGCTCGGTATCCATGTACTGCCAAAAATCGCCAATTTTGGCAAAGGGGCACTTGTAAATATATTTGGTACTTTTCCGGGTTAGAGTTGACTTTAAGATACTCCTTGTATTATCATGAAGTTGTTGTTTCATTTATCGCCAATTTTTTGTTTCGTTTATCCCCAAGTTGTTGTATCATTTATGGTAACCTGAATAGCTGAATGTTATGGAAATCGTATTATGATGTAATCGTTTGCATTATTCTGGGAAAATGTGAATCATGGGATGTTTTGCAAGGGCTTTTGTGGTGTTGCTTAGAAAGTACATTGCTTGTTTCATTGTTTAGACTATACAATGGCTGAATGTAGTAGGATTAAATTGAAGTTTCTGTACGTTTTAGAACGAAAGAGGAAAAGGGCATTAATTGAGTGAATTGATTGTGTAAATAAAGGTTTACTTAATAGCCATAGTCCGAAACTACGTTGTATATTTTTTACTCTTATTTTTGTGAATATCTGTGGTGATTGTAGATCATTTTAGGAAGTTTTTGGATGCTGTTAAGGAATTTTGTGTGCCACAGACTGAAGATGAATGAATTTCTATATAAGGTAAGGGGATTTTTGCTTTGTTTAGTGCTAAAATACATAACAGGTTTTTCCTTTTGTATGTTATTTTATTGTTTGGCTTATAATGTAGTTTATTGAGATTATGCATTTTTTGTTTGCCTCTACTGTAGAATTGGGTGCTCCTTTGACTTTTTAACTGAAAATATATCGATGTGTACATGGAAAACTCAAGGGAGTGCATAAAGCATAGTTTGTGCAATTCTCTGATTTTTTTAAGTGAAAATAGGTCGATGTGTACATGCATAATGTCAAGGGAGTGCACAATGCCATTTTTGTGCAATTCAGAGTTTTTTTTTTTTAAGTGAAAATAGGTTGATGTGTACATGGATACCAAGTTTGTGCAATTCTTTGACTTGTTATTTAGGCTTGTGTAGTGGCAATTTTTTTTTGCCAAAAATCATCGCTACACAGGCCAAAATAACATGTCAAATAATTGCACAAACTCGGTATCCATAAACCACCAAGTTTCACCAAGGGTGAACAGAAGAAGGCTTTTTATGTCTCTTAACGCTAGGAAATTTTTCACAACCCCTTAACAAGGTTGGGTGACCCTCTTTTCCGCAGTTGCAGCACTTCGGGACGTCTAAGCGTCCTTTATTACAGTCCTGAGTCTTATCATGTCCAGCGCATTTCACGCATCATGGGGAAACATGACAGTTCTCCGAGGAGTGGTGCCATTTCTGGCAGTTAAAACACTGCGGAACTTGGAATTTCGAAACATATTTTTTCACCATAATTGAAAATAGGCACAGGTCAGTCAGTTTATGGATTCAATCAATTACTTCATTTTTAAATAACTGTACTTGAAGAGTTCGAGTTCTATTTTTTGTCAGCTGGACTACTTTGGGAACCTTGAATCCTTGCTTAACTAACTCATCTTTGATTTCAGAGACCTCC